CAACCGCCGCTGCCTTCCTTCTCATCTCTAACAGCCAGCGCCTCTCTCCCTCGTCGTCAACCCCGACGACAGCAACCCCATTCCCCTTCTGTCCACGGCGAGCCCGACTTCAACACCTCCATCTCCTCCTCTTCCCTCCACTCCCCGCCTTCATCCCCCAGACCCTCCCTCTTCCTCTCTTTGTCGAGCTTCCCCACGCCGAACTTGTTGCTGCTCAAGTTCCCGCCGACCAGCCCAACTCCGAGCTTCCCTTCGCCCTCAACTTGAGACTCGACCACCTCCTACCACCGCCAGTCGTCGCCGTCCTCTCTTCCCCGTCGGAGACCACAGATGCTACGCCGCCGCTCCAAGCTCTGCTACCCCTCTTTCCTTTCAAGCTCAGCCCGCCCTAAAGAACTCCCCGTCGTCGCCGAGTTCACCCCAAGTCCCAGCTCAGATTCGCGTTGGTCAGAAAATAGTCCACATCAGCAACTTAAACAAAGATTAAGCCACCGCGTGCAACGCACGTGACGAGTTCTCGCCGGAAAAGTGGTCGCCGACGAGGAAAAGGACCTAATTGGTAATTTTATTCAATTAAAATGCCTTAACGTCGAATTTCCTAATTAAAATACCTTCTTGGCAAATGGGGTTGAAATAAAATACCAATATGGGTATTTAGCCTATTTGAATCAATCTAATGGCTCAAAAGTTGTGCTCAAAAGAGATGTTGATTCTCGTGTGTGTAATCATGGAAGAAAAGAGGGGACCATGCTGCGCAAATTACTTCCATAGGACCCCCACCATATACTTCATGCCCAGTGATGTGCATATTATGGATGCACCAAAGATTTTTTTTTTAAATCAATGGTTTTTCAAAAACAAAAGATTCCTCATCCTTTTATACGAGGCATCATGATGATGAATTAATCGAAGTTGAACTGCATGTGAAGGGCATATATTGTTAACAGTTATCACATGAAACATAGAATAGCAGCTGTACCTCTAGGTTCACTTCCATGAAGCTCAGAATATCGTCCTCATGCAGGAAATACTCAATTATATTGCAGACACCAATAAGGAACAAAGAAATGTACCTTCAATTTTGCAATAACAAGTTTTAAACCCTGTATTTTTATGGTTTACAATGCAGACCACATCAAATGAACATAGCATATTTAGAATCAAAGTAAAACATGTTCAATTCATTCAAATCTTCCATACTGCTGACCTACCATGGGCGCAACCAGCCAAAACATTACTCATTAAAATCAGTATCACAAATGAAAAATTAGTCCGATGAAGATGTACCATATTGTATGCAGTAGTTGTGCCTATGAGAAAAGAACTCGATATGCATCAGCTTCACGAGCCATTTCATCAAAACTTCTGTCCTTCCTTTCTATGTCGAGGTCAAGCTTATCTTTCAGCTCCTTTTCCTTGACATCCATCTGTTGAAAGAGTAGCAGCAAAGGTAACATATTAAAAATATGCAAAATTATAGAGAAACCTACAGGCAAAACATGATTAACTTACAGCTTCATAGATTTCATCATTTTTCTCAAAGTCACCTTTCTTCCGTGGAATAACATGAATGTGCACATGAGGAACTGTTTGGCCAGCTTGAGGTCCATCCTTAAACGCCAAAAACAAGAATCTGTTAGGTTTTTCCATACAAATGAATCTAATCAACCTGAATTAAGAAAACACGACCTTTGTTAAAATTACAATATAGAACTGTCAAGATTCGATCAACAGAAGGAAGCAGGATGCAGAGTATATAGTGTGATTTACGTTATACCTCCAGATAATGTCTTATCATTTACCACCCACTACACCTTAAGTTGCACCCCACAAAATTATAAGAGAACGGATAAGAACATAGAGGTAACATTTTAAAGCAACTCAAATGAATTATGCAGACGGTATGAATATGAACATATAAATTATGATCTAAAATTTACTTGATGAGATAAAAAGCTTCTATGGTAAGGATACTAAGAAACTTATGCTTGGAGTACAATGTCCTCATGCTCAGACTCCTATGCTGATCCATGAATTGCAGTATGATCATAATAGAAAAACCCTACAATCAATTCTCAAGAATCTCAACATGTTGGAAGCATCCAACTCAAGGACATGCAAAAGATCATGATGAGGGATAAATCAGTAATCTGATTATTATAAATTCAAAAAGTCATGAAATAGATATTGACATCATCATTGTTAGATGATTCAACAACTGATATATGAAGTGGTTCTTGCAGGTTATTTCTGAAAGTGCAAATATGTCATCTCATATTAATCATAGAGACCAATGAAAAATAAGCTATTGATAAAAGGTAGAAAATTCACCCAAGAGGGCTCGCCGAGTTGATATGCTGCCTATGAGTAGTACTCTAAAGTCTAAGGTTCGACTCTCTTGTGGAGCACCAACAGCAATGTCACAAAAGGCGCTAGGCGGACTAGTCGTTTGAACCAACGCCTAGAGCCTAGATGCCTAGGCGTACGCTTAGGCATCGTCTAGACGTTTGGCTATTTTTTAAATTATTTAATGATAATAATTTATAAAACTATGTATTAAATTCATATAAATTTGCCAAAAAAATAGATAGCAATCTTACCTCCACAATAAACCAAGCATACCTAAATACTAAATAGCCAAAATAATAACTCACAAGGTTATAGAGTGCTAGGAGTCCTAGGCGTTGGACGCGACGCCTAGAGTCTAGGATGTTTTCTATTTTATTTTTTAATTATAATAATTGATAGTAAATATCAATGTTATAGAAAACTTAGGTGTCGTACTAGTGCCTAGGCGGATTTTTTTTCTTTATTTAGGTGGTGGTCGAGGAGGTTTTGCTAAAGGTCGGAGGATGTAGTAGAGGTGTTCATATTTGGAAGTTAAAGGAGTTTGGAGGGCGTGAGAGCTGTAATACAGAAAATCACGATTAAGGACTAAAAGATGCAATCCACATAAGCAGACAATGCTCCCCTAAACACTTTCAAAACTTAAGTGGGCAGCATAAGTACCACCAAGCGCTAGTCAGATGACCTAGGTACCCCCTAGTCCTAGGTGTACGCCTAGGCGGACTAGGCGGAGGATTTTTAAAACAGTAACCCATAGGAATTTAATTTATAATACCTGAGGCCGTGTGTTGGGAGGTGCCCCTTAGCCACGCCCCGAGGTTTGATCCTCATGGTTTGAAGGATTACGGAGAAGTTCCCTCCTCAAACCAAATAAAGGTAGAAAAATCTCTCTTTGGAATTTGAGATACGAAAGAACATTGCTCTTGCATGTCCCCCAAAAAAAACTAAAGATTGTCATAATCTTCAATTACTTTTACTGAAGAAAAAGTTGCATACAGTCTCTATAGGTTAACAAACACCACCTAAGAAAAAATCCAAACTTAAGAGAAAATGACAGATTTGCTGTAGGGAATAACATTCAACTCAGGGGAATAAATAAATTAAAGAGTAACTCCGGACAATTCCACATGATTGGATAAATTCTATTTATATTACATGTGCAGTTTTGCTTAGCACGGATATATTATATCCTTCGTTGAAAATTTTGCCATATCTGTTTTCATTTCACTTGACTACTTAAATAAACTCAATTTGGATTAAAGATGTGTTTACCTTGGAAACAGATCTAAGTCAAACCAACTTGGACAGAAGAAAAATATCATGGCATCGGAAGTAGCTAAATATTGCTCTTGCATAGCCCTCAATTTACTTTGACGGAAACTGCATGCCTTTCGACTTTTAATGTAGAGAGAGAATAGAATGAGGTCAAAAGTTTTAAGAAATTGGCTGCTTGGCGCATGGTAAAAGTTGCGAAAGAACTCGTAGATGGACTTGGTATAATAAAATAGCCGAAGCACAAGAGGACAAGCATGTTAAATTAGAATACTGACAAAAAATTTTAATGCAATTCGATCAGAAGCTTTGTAAATTTAAAAAGTGAACCAGTTTCTTGTAGAATAGACACAGATGAAGTAGGTTTCTTGAAATTTTTCCTTGCGATAGATATGGCCTCAACTTTTCTGATATTCAACAATTATACTTACTAGTTAGTTTTCTATGTGAACAAAGATCAAGACAAGCTTGACCTGTTTGAATGAATTTTATCTTGTGTGTATGCTATCATTTCACAATCTTGGCCTACACTGATGGATTAAGGAGTGCCAACTTACATTTTTGCTACTGAGCCATTAAAATCACGTCAAGTGTTAGAAATTTCTCATTTGTCATGCCAGCCTAAACAAATAACCAGGCTAAGGATTTGAAGTTTAATTGGTTGTATAGGAATTGGCTAAGGGCTTCATGTCTGGTGCTACAATCTTTGGCAGCCAAAGAGTTGGCTAAGCCTTTTGAATATCATATCTGCATTGAAGGTTTCAAGGGATCAGCAAAGCATTTGGAATTAATAGACTTCTTGACCATAAAGGAATCTGCTAAGTAAATGAAATCACACTTCTAATGTCAATAAAAGGAACTCGCTAACTGATGAAATTTCAAGCTTAAGTTAATGTAAAAAAAGTGCACTGGTATAGAGCAAAAGATTCAAGTTTGATCACGAGAATCTACAATGCAATAAGAAACATAAGAAATGTAATGGTAATCAGCAGACTCATAACCATGTCAGGTACATATTCTAACAGGAAAAGAATGTTACACATTAAAATAAGGAACTACTTGACTGTAAGCTCATATCAAAAGTGAAAAAAGAAAGGAATTTAAAGAATTCCAACTGCTAAGTAAGTACATATGTATGAATGTAAGAATTAATTCCAAGAAATTAATCAACTTTGAGATGACGATAAAACTAATAGATATGAAGCAATTTACTTGGATACCAAAGGTCAGGGAAGATGCTTCATGATACTGCTCAAGTTTGCCTCCAACTTCCTTTGCAGTAAGCCACAAGTCAGTAGTCTCGTCAGCAGTGAGATCAATAAAGCGCTTGACTTCACGTCTTGGACACACAAGCACATGTAAGTCTAGTTAAGTTAAACATGATGACATAACTGTACTTAAAGTGTGGCAAATATAGATCAATCAAGGTCACTGAAGTATGACATACATATTAAAACAAAGACATGCATGCGTGTGTGCAATGGGAAATTTCACTTATGCATTTATATATTGCCAATCATATATGACACTTCTATTGTATCATTGTATGGTTTGGATATATTATTGAGTACAATTACAAAAACAAATGACGCAAACATCATGTGCAATCATACATATAAATAGGATATATTTCAGAAAACTTCCATCAACTTTTGGGCTTTTTGCACAAAACAACCCGAACTTGTCTCACTTAACCACCATGACTGACGCTGTTCAACTTAATATTAGGACCACGTTATACCTTTTGGACAATTTTACCCCTTCCTGACTTCCATACTATCCTTTTCAAGTAAGGGAAGATCAAATGTTAAAAAAAAGGTATTTCAATTTGTTCTACCTATTACTTCCGTTTACAAGAATGGGAGCGTATAATTTTGAAAGTTCAGGGGGTTTCTCATCTAAACATCCCCTAAATCTCAAAGGGGTTTGTGAAATTAACCTTGTCTAAATGATCAAATATTGACATGAACCACTTTAACTTTCACTGTTATAATGGCAGGCACATTCAAAGCTGAAAGTTAGTCTTCACATGTATAGCAGGTTATTAGTGGAAAAGATGCAGCAGAAAAAGTACCTTTACAAATAAAAAATTTACATATATACAGCCAAATTCAGCAAAGAAGTACCTTT